AACAATGATAAATTTTTTTCAGGATTTTTTTGATGAACAGAAAGTTCAAAAGAACAGCATTTATTTAAATTATAAATATTTTGTAACATGTATTTACTGTCACGTTTGATTAATTCAGCAAGGATGCATTAAATTTAACTATTATTCTTTATTTATTTAAATATGAATTAATCTTACTGACCCCAACATTTGAACAGTAGTGTTTGCGCAATATCATTCTGCAAGTTCATTATGCCAGATGTTCTGCTTCTGACATTAGTTCAGATGGGAATAAAATTACCACAGTCTTCATCAATGCAAGATGTCAAACTTGTCAACTAGTGCCTCTAAATGCTGAAATCATGCTAGGCAAACAGAAAAGTGCTAAAGGTAACTTTTTAGATTATTACACATGTTTAATTATGAATTAGATGGAGTAATGGGTAATTAATTTACAAATCAAATTGAAATTAGTATTGAACAAATTACAGTCATTTCAGGCCACACATGAATAATTAGATTTGACACTTTATTTATGTAATAAAAAGTAACAATATCTCAATGTTGACTCCAAACCAATTTAGAGATTGCGATTTTAATGTTTTAACCACATTTATTTATTTGTGTCATTATTGGTTTAGAGGGGATTGGCTTCTGGGATTCCTGTATAGAAGTTCATCTGTCCAGCTGTCTGTTGCTGGGCTCCAGCCAATCAATTCGCAAGACCGCAAAATAATCAATGTGGACCTGTCATCAGTGGTAAGCAAATGCGTGTGTGCATTGAGGATTGCATCCCAGATATTTGTTTTAAAGGGGTGATGAACTGAGAAATCAAATTTTCCTTGAGCATTTGACATCTAAGAGGTCATCATATTATAAGAATATCCTGTAAGTTTCAGAACTGAAAACGTCATTGTTAGTCCAATAAAAGCTTTTCAGCAAACGACTCGTTTTTCAAAGTGGGGAACTATGATGTCAAAGAGGATAAAACACCACCCCCGCAGAAGAAGATCAACGCCCACTTCAACACGGCCAGTTTAGCCCCGCCCAGCGATTCGCGCATTACACGCATAGCTAAATAACATAGATGCCTACCTCGGGATGACAATCCGGATCGAGATACCGAGCAATACAGAATATTGTGCAGCGCCTGGTTGTGGAAGAAGACAGTCGCTGCATAAGCTTCCTTTGGATACCAATAGGACTGCATGGATAAACTTTATTTTTAATGACGTTTCAACATTGTCTGTCTGTTCGCTTCATTTCACTGAGGATTGTTTTGTAAAACCGATTAAGAGTAAAGAACGGTGCTGTGCCGTCTATATTGGATGCGACGGGAATGGTGCAACACACGGACTCTAACATGTATGGGCGAATCATTCCGGTTGCCATTTTACAACATTGGACGTTTTCAAAACAATTTCCCCCACGTGGACCGACAAGTGAGTTGAAACTCATTATAATATGCAAAACTGTTATCCACTCACACCAGTGGGCGTTTACTTCCAAGTCTTCAGTGCGAGACGCCCATAAAAACCCAGCGTTTTTCAGCTAAGCTCAAAACTAGGGTAGAAAATAGCCTATTACTTATTCATTTTGAATGTAAAAACCAAGCGAACGTCATAAAATGACCTCAGACAACAATATAATAAAAGTTCATGACCCCTTTAAATGTTCTTGGTGTCTGTGAGTTGCATTTAGATTCACATTGAATTCACTGGCGTACATTAGCATAGAGTCAAAGTTTAATTTCCTTCAGATGGCTTCAAACCTTAACCAACTGAAAGGTGTTTTTTATATAGACAAAAGTGATTTAATGCTTTTTGCATTAAATACCCCCTTACATGAATAGAAAGGGCATTGTTAAATTGTCAGCCGCAAAAGACTACAATTACTGTAATTACTGTGGCAGGAAGTTCCTCGTTGATATTCAAGTGGAGTCCTTAAATCCAGGGCTGTTACCTCATAAAAAAAAAGACTCAATGTGTCATTTTATGCAGTGCACAAATGTAAAAAGATAGACATTTCAACTTAAAATGATCCATTCATAACAATCCCTTCTAAGTTACACAGAGCAACAGAAAGTCTGTACATCTCGACAGAGGTCGTCAGGTCCGCCATCCGTGTGATGTATTGTAGACAAAGGACTGAATCTGAGATATTCCTCATCTCACAGAGACAGAATACAGGTTGCATCACATCGGCCTTAAGCCAGGACAAAAAAAGACATGCTATGGCATCTTTGTGAAAGAAGTTATTCATGAAAAAGAAAATGATACAGCTTCGATAAATTGGCAGAAGATATTGGTTTTGCGACTGCAATGCGAGGCATGTGAAGAATTGCACCTTCATTCGGCATGTGAAGAACTGTTTATGAGCAATTAAATTAGCTTCGTTTCCTGAAATAAATACCAGTGCTTGTAATGCAGCGCTAGAATAGTGTTACAGTTTTCAGGACTAATTTAGGCTTATTAGAAACACTTTAATCTTTACATAAAAACTCAGCAGATGTTACATAATGTCAAGGCAGGTATAGTTAAATAAATTAATTAAATAGACCAGTTCAGTATGCAAATATTGCAATGGTGGAAATTAGTCAATGGGAGATCATCAAAATAAAGTCTTAAAGGAGTAGTTCACTTTCAAAAAAAATACTTTTGCTGATAATTTACTCACCCCCATGTCATCCAAGATGTCCATGTCTTTCTTTCTTTCTTCAGTCGAAAAGAAATTAAGGTTTTTGATGAAAACATTCCAGGATTTTTCTCCATATAATGGACTTCAATGGGAACCAAATGATTCAAGGTCCAAAAGACACTTTCTGTACAAACTGATCAAAGGACTTTAAACGATTCCAAACAATGAATAAGGGTCTTATCAAGCAAAACGATCGCTCATTTAAAAAACAAAAACAATGTTATAGTTTTATAAGCTCAAATGCTAGCCTTGTTCTGTGGTGAACGTTCGTGACTCTCCTGTTCAAACCCGTACATCAAAATGAACAAATCTTTTCCAGAGTCAACTCGTTCATTTTGTCCGTTGAATTAACCAAATGACACAAAACGTTTCGTTCATTTTGATAAACGAGTTCGAAAAGGAGAGTCACAGAACAGAGCAAGGCGACTATTTGAGCTTATAAAACTTAAACTTTTTTTTTTTTTTTTAAATGAGCGATCGTTTCGCTTGATAAGACCCTTATTCATCGTCTGGAATCGTTTAAAGCCCTTTGAACATTTTGCAGTTTGCACTGAAACTCTCATTTGGACCTTGAACCGTTTGGTTCCCATTGAAGTGCATTATATGGAGAAAAATCCTGGAATGTTTTCATCAAAAACCTTAATTTCTTTTCGACTGAAGACAGAATGACATGGATATCTTGGATGACATGGGGATGAGTAAATTATCAGCAAAAGTTTTTTTTAAACGTGAACTACTCCTTTAAATATCATAAAAGTATGAAAAGTAAAAAGTTCATAAGAAAAAAAAAGATAGCACACCTAAGAATCAAATGATTAGTGTTTTTTTATATGTGTTTAATTTGAGATATTTTCCAATGTCAATCAGTTAAAGTTAAAAACATGACTACCCACTGAATTGACTGTACATTGTATTCCCCTTTTTACTCAAATACGGCATTTACTTACTGGTCTAAATCAAAAGATTCAACCCCTGAGTCTCTATATGTTGTTTCTGGCTTTTTTTTTTCCAAGTCTGAGGGAGTTTATTTCACCTGGCATAAAATAAAACTCAAATTTGACCGTTTGGAACAGTAATAGCATACATGTGTGATGCGAGGTATCATGCACACCTGAGTTATGCGCCAAAGTGGGATTTTTTTTTTCCTGAAAAGTTATCAAGCAACACTAAAATTAAAATGAGGCTATTAATATAGTAATGCAGTGCAAGCACTGTAAAATGTATTTTTGACTTGCTTTTTAAATACTGACTATGTTCTGTCCAACTTTTAGGTAAAAGGACACCTGGACTACATGCGTCAGATGGACACCATCCTAGTAGCAGTGGGGGTTCCTACTAGGGAAGAGGCTGGAGCCATGAGTAGCAAATTACAGCTTGTTCATTTATCTCATAAAACAGACACTCCAGAATCAGCTGGTCAGAGCAGAGTCAAAGGAGGCATTTCAAACAAAGATATATTAGATGTCCCATCATCAAGTGTAGATCAATACGAGAGGAAGGACTCTGAGAATGGCTGGGATATCCCTGATATATCCGATTTACTGGATTCCGTCAGTGAATGTGATGGCATCCTTGAATCCTGTCAAGGTAATGCTCATTCACAGTGTGCTCTTGAAGGTGAGAACCATGTTGAACCATCTCAGGACCAAAGCAAAATAGACAATGAAACTAACACAGACTTTGAGCGCACGTCATGGGACTGGGACGACACCAACTGGACTGCTGAACACACAAACACAACCTACCAATCGCACACTGGTGCACAGAACAAATTAACCAACGGCAAACCTGATTGTTCTGAGCCAAGATGACATTTCCAACGCTCGCTCACAGAATTTGAGTCGGTCTAGATGGTAAATCTCGCTCCATGGAGTCACATTTGCTGCTACTGCTACCAAAATGAGGGTTGGGGGCTCAAATTAACACAGTGTTTTAATATCGTGAGACTTTTAGCAGAAGAAGGGTTACCATCTAGACACCACCCAGAATATAAAATAGCAATATAAGCTGGAACCTTGGCTTTTTGCAAGTCTGGAATTGCCTAAAAATCTCATTAAGTTATTACCGGATATCATCTGTAATTATTTTCAACCCTTCTGAATGTGATTTGTGATAAACTGCTATGTGAAAACTGTCAGTATTCTGTGTATACCATTTGCCCCCTTCATTAGAAGTGGTTTGTTGTTTAATTAAGATGTGAATTACAGCTCCACAGACAACCCACTTGACATTGTGTGAGGTATTAGTGAGATTTCTTTCGCTCTCGTCTGCTTTATCCATCTGTTGTTTTGGTTGTTATGGTAATGAATGAAGCGGGATGCGTGTTGAGACCGTACTAAATGTACAATCTCTGTGATCTGCTTTAAGGAACGATGCAGCCTCCCAGTCTATGCACGACTAACCCATTAACACTTATCCCATTGATTTTTGTAGCACATTTTCACACAAACGTATATGCACTCACACACTGCCTGAAGTCACACATCTTACAACCCACAGTATATATTGCATTTTTTTTTTGTAGTCTCAGTCGGTGTATCAATCGTCCAGCGCATCGATCTGGTTGGGCAGCAGCAGAGGCAGGTCGATCCCGGCGTGTTCAGCGTCGAGAAGGTTAACGGCGTCCGTGGCCGTCGCCGGTAGTTGAGGCGGGTCAGACACGAGGGAGGGGGGTTCGGTGGGCAGTTGCGGTTCTCCTGAGTTGCGCAGAGAAAGGGAAAGTGGCAGGGATGGCCTACGAGGGGCTTGAGATGAAGAACAGCAGGGTAGAAGCCGTGCCAAAGCCCTCTTGAAATCCCTCATGAACATTGGATATATAATTGGGTTCATGGTGCTGTTACAGTAGCCCAACCAGGTGATGGCGTCGAAGAAGGAAGGAGGTATGCACTCGCACACTGCCTGAATGTACAGAATAAAAGGTCTTAGATCACAACGTGAATACAGAATGTGGTTGAGACTCAATACCAAAGTGGTGGAAAAGGTCAAAGATGTCTAGTTCATCGGGATGAAGAAAGTGAGAGTAAGAGACAAAGATGGAGTGCTATTCACACACCATATTGTGTGTGAAGGAGGGCTGGAGACAGGCTTGCCCAGAAGCTCAAAATCTGAGCAAAGTGAGGGACACAGATGGGGGGACATGATCATGACGATTTGAGAGCAAGCCCAGGAATAATTGCACGACTAAATAGGAACATTTCTCTTTGTCAGTTTGTCATGTTGGAATTAATTGGCCACCAATTCCGTTTTTTGTTGCGTGCTTTTTGTTGAGTTAAGGTCAAGGAGGTAGGGTTCACTTTTAGCGTGAACTAGCGAGATTAAGTGTGATTTGTGGACTGACCTGTGCCATGTTGGTGATAAAAAAGGGAAGCCAGGCACTGAAGAAGAGACCCAGGAGCACTCCCAGGGTTAGGCTGGCTTTCAGAGCTCTCTTCCTTTGCCTGTGTGCCAGTCTGCGCTCGCTGTTCACCGACAACTGAGAACAAGAGAGAGAAGAATATATTCATAGAGATTTCACAGTGATTCGCCTGCCAAGAGATGGGAAATAATGTTACCTTGGCCTGGGGTAATTATTTATTTATTTCCCTCTCTCAGTTGAAAGATTGTAAAAAGTGAGAGTGCTTCACAAGGTCTTTGCTATTGTCTTAAAGTTCTACCCTCCCTTTTCGCACTTCCTCATCTTTGAACGTCTCTCTTTACTTTCCTGTGGCTCAAAACAGTGGAGCGTTGGTGCTTGCAACGCCAAGGTCATGGGTTTGATTCCCAGGGAAAGCAAGAACTGATAAGAATTAAAATGTGTACCTTGAAATGCAATGTAAGTCGCTTTGCATAAAAGCGTTTGCCAAATGCATAAATGCTCTCTGTTCTAGTCCTTAAAGGGTTAGTTCACCCAAAAATGAAAATTAAGTCATTAATTACTCACCCCCATGCTGTACCAACCCCGTAAGACCTTCGTTCGTCTTCGGAACACAAATGAAGATATTTTTGATTAAATTTGAGAGCTGTATAACTACCACATTGGCTCCTAAGGGACTGCCTCTTGACGGCCCAGAAAGTCAATGAAGAAAATGTTTAAATATCCCAAGTGACTACCGTGGCTCAACTATATGTTTATCAAGCGACGCGAATACTTTTTGTGCGAAAAAACAAACAAAAATAACGAGTTTATTCGACTATTTCTTTTCTTCCTTGTAGGCCAGAAACGAGACTTCCTTAGATTTCCACGACGCATGCGCGAGAATTGCGATCTGAAGTAGTGTAAGCTGGTGTAAGCAGATCGCAATTCTCGCGCATGCGTCGTGGAAATCTAAGGAAGTCTCGTTCTGGCCTACAAGGAAGAAAAGAAATAGTCGAATAAACTCGTTATTTTTGTTTGTTTTTTCGCACAAAAAGTATTCGCGTCGCTTGATAAACATATAGTTGAGCCACGGTAGTCACTTGGGATATTTAAACATTTTCTTCATTGACTTTCTGGGCCGTCAAGAGGCAGTCCCTTAGGAGCCAATGTGGTAGTTATACAGCTCTCAAATTTAATCAAAAATATCTTCATTTGTGTTCCGAAGACGAACGAAGGTCTTACGGGGTTGGTACAGCATGGGGGTGAGTAATTAATGACTTAATTTTCATTTTTGGGTGAACTAACCCTTTAAAATCAAATGGCACTTTTCCACTACACAGTACCAGCCCGACTCGACTCGACTTGGTTCGCCTTTGTTTGGTTTTCCACTGTGTAAAAGTTGTACCTGTTCCTGCTTTCGGGTATTATTATTTTTTGTACCACCTCCGGCGAGGTTCTGGGCGAGCTAAGGCGATACTAAAAGTGACGTGAAAACAATGCCGACTGCTGATTGGTCAGAGAGAATCGTCACCATTCACTGCGCCGTCATTACACGAGTATCCAGAATAACCCCGCCATTTTTTTTAAAAGTTTGGCCAGTGATGGTTAATAAACTAACTACTATTATTATGGCAACTCGGAAGAATACGCCGTGGTCAAACGAAGAGGTGCAGACTTTTCTTAGTTTGGTGGCCGAAGAGAGGATCCAGCGAGAGATTGATGGGGCAACGAGGAACGAAAGGCGTCGCTATGACGACCGGGTACTATTTGTGGCATGAGTGAAAAGCGAGCCGAGTCGAACTGGTACTGGTAATGGAAAAGTGCCAAAAATGTCTTTCACCTTTCTTTTTGTGTTTAAGGAACAAGTATTTCTCTCTCTACACAATGCATTGTCAGCAATGGCACAACCTTCACTTGCCTAAGTGTTGGGTTTGTGAATGAACAACAGCTTGAGAATGCATACAATCCAAGTCGCTTGGTTTGTCGAGAGTTCACAACAAAAATTTGCACGCATACACAAAACAAGACATCCATCCCTCACAATTTGCATCTAATACATTTTTTTAGGTACTTCACAAATTGAATTCCTGTTGCATTTTTATCTCTGACTCAGGACTTCTCACCGGACCGTGCCGCAGCACGGGTGGCTCCGGGTGGCTGTAGTCGTCTCCATCATGCACAGCGTGACCGAGAGACGGAGGATGAGATGGTTCACCATGCGAGTGATGTGGGTAAGGAGGATGAGTAAGCGCCTCCACCTGTCGCGCCTGTCTTCTGGCCGCCAACAGGATCCGGCAGTAGGTGAAACAGATGGCCGTAGAGGGCAAGAAGAAGGTGAGTAAGGTCGCCACAAGGGCGAAGGGGAGAGTCACCCGCAGGCGGCACTGCGTTGACGGCGTCCCTGACGTGGAAAGCTGGAAGTATGAGGGGGGGTAGAAGGAACTCAATGGCGAGACTGTGGCGTTGGCGGGATAGTGCTCGGAAAGGTCTTGCACGCGACCCAGGCTGTGCCAGTCCATCTTGATTGGCAGGAAAGACGTAAGCGCAGCCAACCCCCAAGCCCCGCCCACCAGCAGCAAGGCACGGGGCGGGGTCATGTGCTGTTTGTATCGCAATGGAGAGATAATGAGGAGGTAGCGGTCCAGACTGATGACACACAAGTTGAGAATGGAAGCACTACAGCACATCACATCGAAGCAAAGCCAGACGGGGCAGAACCCAGGCGCCAGCACCCAGGTCCCACACAGCACGTTGAGCATAGCGGGAGGCATCACGACCAGAGCCACCATCAAGTCTGACAGAAAGAGGGACACCAGGAAGCAATTGGAGGTGCAGCGCAGCGACCGATGTGCGAACACCAAGGCAATCAACAAAATGTTCCCACAAGCTGTCACCAGAATTATGAGGGAAAGCATGACTGCGAGAAGCCAGGGACCGCTGCCACTAATGCTCCAGCCGTCACCGATAGCACCGCTGTCATTGAAGCTCCTGTGAGCGTTCCAGGGATCAGCACCTGATGCTGCCTCTACTCGAGGGATAGGTGAGCCACTCATCATCGAAGAGTTGAATAGGACAGTGTGCGCTTCCTCGGGTCTCGATGAAGCCAACACACATCCAGGGTTTTTCAGGTGCATTGAAATGTGAAACAGTTGATCTGCGCGGGTCACTGAATCCAATGCAGACCACCTCAGGTGGTGAAAAAGATCAAGATGTCCCGTTTATAGTAATCCTTTCCATCTTTCCCTTTGGCAAGGTTGGTGATTTCACTCCCTCTGTGCGCCTCAGTCACATCAGTGCGAGGATATTCAGCTGCCATCACTCCATTTGTCAACATGAGATGAGCAAAGCAATAAAATGACACATTTCCCAGTCCATAGTCTGGCTTCTTCAGCGCTTAGCACCGGTATGAGCAATTCTGTGCCTGTCAGAGTATTTCAAAGCTACGTGTCATGATGACACTCTTTGGGGGAGGGCAACTGAGAGGTGGGTTTCAGTACAAGAGTGTGTGAGAAAGAGAGGGAGAGTTACAAGGGCAAGACTACCATTTAGATATTTTTAGATGAGTGAATTTAAAAAACAAACTCATCTCGGTCAGGTTCTTCCCGTCGAGGAGGATTTCTTTTTTCTTTCTATGCATTTTTATGAGCTCGACGTTCTTTATTCAGTAATTGTGTGGCTGTAATTGAGTAAAAGGGAGCGGACGAGTGCACTAGAGTTAACTGAGTTGGCGTCTTTGCTGTTCCTTTTGCCCTCCTAATCCCTGTATCGTCCACTTCAGGGTGCCTGCAGGATCCGCACTCTGCTGCCGCCGGGCATAAAGCGTGTCTGAGTATTGAGCTTTTAATGCGACTTTATGCACATTCACAGCCAATCGTTATTCAGGGTTAATTGAGGCACACATTTAACATCTTACAAAAGGCTTATGTAAATGTGTGCAAAAAAAAAAAAGTGTGATTGTTGATGTGAAAATGTTCCTTTACAAGAATGTTTTTCTTTCCTGTCTCTTATAAATCTATATAATTCTTTTCTTCTTTTTTTTTTTTGCTATAATCATTTTTGGGGCATCTGCGAGATTGTACACGAGTCATTGGTAGGGCTGTCAAACGATTAATCGTGATTAACCCTCCAAAGTCGATTGACGCTCTAGAGCCGTTAGAGGGCGCTCTCCTTACATATCTATTAATAACTTCGGATTGGATGACGGTATTAACTTACTTTTTTTTATGAAAAAGCTGACAATCGTCTGCATGTTGATTTCCGCAAATTGAAAGCATTTTATATTTTAGTGCAAGTCTATAGCATTTTAATGCAAAACAAACAAGTATTACTTTACTCTGATCTAATTATATGAAAGGCTGTTGGTGTGTGTGACCAATCACAGGCGAAAAACATAAGAAAACAAAAACTTGATTAATTCAGGTGTGTCTGATTATTTTTGCCATGACTACTGAGGTCAGGCACTCCTGGACTAATCAATTTGTCCAATAATGGGAGACAGGAAGCAAGGAGCTGGCTTAAGTTCAGGAAGTAGTGCAGCTGTGCATAAAGCCAATTGGACACCTCCGTAGAGCAAAGCCCCATCGGCCTTTTCAAGCACTTTTTTTAGTGCTGAGTCAATCAGGACATTGTTTGCCAACACAAACAAGCTGGCAGAGAGAAATATTGCTGCTGGGAAAAGGTACAAGTGGACCACTATCAACCCTGCAGAGATGTTCAAATTCATTGGCTTGTTTTTTTTACATGGGAATTCTAAAGCTCCCAGCAGTAAGTGACTATTGGAAGAACATTTTTTTTTTTTAAATCAAACATCAAATATTGAAACGTCAATATTTCAAGTCTTTCAAATGCAGTGCACAGTGCCATCTAGGGGTGCTTTTGTGTATTTTGTAAATTGAGACCATTGAGAATTTTCCATTCTAATGAGCATTTGGTTCCCTTTATATTCTTTCTGTGTTTTTCTCAAAAAAGTATGGTGACTACAGTTACAGAAATGTAAATATTTGTTTTGTTTCTTTATATTTTTTGCAGGTGTTCTAAAGCATTTGAGGAATAAATATTTTTTGTAAAATCCCTTATTTATTTTTCATATTTTTATATAATAAAAACCAAAAAAAAAATTCAGTGTTTGTATTTCTTGGTGAAATATCACATAATTACACACACAATTGTCTCAAAAAATGTATTTTCAATGCATCCAAATTGTAGCTGAGAATCTGTAGAACCCAGAAATGTCTCTTTACTGTATGAAAATTGACAATTCCAGAAGCCAAAGTGCCAGGTGGACTTAAAACCCCTTAGACCTTGAAGGGTTAATTGCATCCAAAATAAAAGTTTGTGTTTACATAATATCTGTGGGTGCAGACATGCTTGTTCATATTTAAGAAATATTTTCATGTATATACTGTTATTTATATATAAATATTTTTTTTCTGAACTATACATGCATGTGTGTGTATTTATATATATATATATATATATATATATATATATATATATATACACAAAATAATTATACACAGTTGTCACGGGTTATGGTGCAGGTCCAGGATGAAGGAGAGGCTGACACAAAGACTCTAATTCAAATATTTCCTTGTATAATCAAAACTCAGGTACGGTGAAGACCCCTCAGGCGGCCTCGGCGGGACGAGACTCTGGCTAGACGGTCTCTGGGGGAAGAAGCTCAGGAAGATCGTCAAAAGGCTCAGCTGACGCTACAGTAAGAGAGGAACCACAAACCCAAAGAGCTCGGTCCAAAAACTCAAGAGAAGGTCAGTGCAAGTCTTTGAGCAGCAAAATCTGGGTTAGGATCATCAAGTCCTCCCCAAAACCGTGGCTTTAAAAACTCCTCCCAGTAATCATCCTGATACAGATGCAGCTAAACTTCCACTAATTCCTCCAAAGAACCTCCATTCTGGTTGAACAGAAACTTACCCATTGCGTCCTCCTCCACTACCTTTTTGGTTTACTTGTATAATCAAAACTCAGAATGATGGTCAAAGGGAAACACCATGTAACATAGATGAGAACTGACCAAGACAGACTGAACAAGGGGAACTAAATACAGAAGCAAATGAACACTAACGAGGTGAAGACAGGTGACACAGATGATAATGACGCTGAACAGGTGGATGATTGAGGGAGTGAGAAGAACAGGTGTGGAGACAAGAGGATCCTGGGAAGTGTAGTGAAGACAAAGACAGACAGGTGCAGACGAGGACTGTGACAACAGTGCACCCACATATATTGTGTAAACACAATAATTTATTTTGGATGCAATTAATCTTTTGACAGCCCTTCTAAATGCATGTTTTTCTTTTTACAAACTGATTGTGTGTAGTTATCAACTGCATGCTATAATGCTTAATTTGCATGTTTGATTGGACATTTGTAATGTTGTTGATGATCTGAGACTTAGAACTGAGAAAGAATCAAAGGGTTTTCGAAATTAAAGTTTATTCCAAAAGAGAAGCTGAAAAGACGGTCTTCCTAAACTGTTGTACAGTTGTAAATACCGTTGATAAATGCAAGCGACGACACATTTAATATTTGTAATTTTTTGAGCATAAACATGCCTTGCAACCATTCTCTAAAAGACTTAATTCTGAACAATGCATGGGAATTTATTTCGATATGCACTTCTACCTTTGGATAAAATGAAACGAAAAACAAACCAATGCTTGTACTTCACAACTGGAGAACTATCACCATGCCAACACCGTTCTGAACACAAAGCATGTTTTTTGCTTTAAGCATAAGTGCACTAGTTCTGCGTGTTTGCCAAAAATCATCTTGGCCTGGGTCAAAAGTCAGATGACAGTGTGGGTTGCTGAAATTATAATGTAGGGTCATTTTTAAAAATATATATATATAAATTAAAAAGAAAATCACATTTATGTCATCCTTTGCAAACTTCAAATCTCCTTTATCATTTTATTAAATAACCACAGACTGTCCTGTACAAGAACATATATATATTATGTAGAGAGAAAGACAACCAGAGTAAGGCAGATGACAGAATCCAAAACCGATGCGTCAACTCTACTGCTCCTGAAAGAGAAGAGAAAACAACACTTCAACTGATATTCAAATGTCTTGAGATTCAATGCATATGATCTTATGTTCTAGGTGATAAACAAATCTGCAACATTTGGTACATTAGATGACTTGATTCTCAGGCGATTTTAAACAAAACACTGTGTGTACAGTGATCATCTGCGTGCATACAAATATTCATAAATTAAAGTCTAGTTTACTGTTAGTTGTAGCTTTTCGACATGCCTTTTAGACCTGATTAGGGTGAACAGGGTTTAATTTAGTGTGTGACTATGTAATTGCTTTTGTTGTATTAATTATGCTGGAAAGCACTTTGGTAAACAGCAGTTGTTGTAAATGTGCAATAGAAATACAATTTTTATTGAGTATTAATTTAACTGTCACATAACATGTCGTGTTCATATCCAGTGAAATTCTTTAATGATAACAACTGAACATAATTGAACAAATTATTAGATGGGCAAAAGTACCTTTTTGTCAGTGTTCTAATTATTATTGAACTGAATAAAATGGGAAATGTTTCCTTGGCAAACAGCTCGCTTAATGTTTTTTTGTTTTGTTTTTATTTAAGTTGAAGTACTTAAAAAAAATTAATTAAACTATAAAGACATTTATAAAGAAAAATGACAAAAATACAACAAAATGACTCAAACTTTATCAAATTACACTGAAAACAGAAAAATAAAACGCTATTCAAAATATGAACAAAAAAAATAAAATAAAAAAATATTTTTATGAATAATTTCTAAAATAAATTCACATTTACGATAATTAGGGACCAAGCACTGAAAGTGTGCAACGTAATGAAGAATTATTATTATTATTATTGTGACTATGTACACCAAGTTTAAATAGCAAAGTATTTTATTTACACCATGTAAAATACCAGTATTCTCTTTGCCAGTTTGTTAAATAGTTATATATATGAATATTGGCAGATGGTATTTGCACCACAGTGTTGTTGTAGATTAAACGCTATACAATAATAACAGAGTGTAAATGATTATATTTATTAAAATTATTAATCACCTTATTGGGACAATAACCATCAAATACTTTATAATTAAACACGTTAGACACTTTATTTCCACTTTTTCGAATGTTTTCTTAAAAAATAAAAGACTTTCCGATCTGATATGTGATGGGAAAATGAAGTAGAGCGAGTTCACCAAAAGAACGATTCAAACGCGATTTGCATCGAAACTTTCTGCCATGCACCATCCTTACCCCTACACTATTGTTACTGTGGACAATCCGGTGTCTTCCGTAGTTTTGTCTGGCATTAATGTAAACTCCATATTATACTATTTGCACTCCATATTAATTATTCATCTGCCATGGGAGTGTAATAGTATTTATAGGAAAATTATAAAATTTGGCACACTTATAGAGGTGGTCTGGAATAGTAATCGTACCAACTCTGGCGTCTATGCGTGTTTTGCCAAATGAGCCCAAGGTCTCCAATGCAAACTGTGTTTTTGCGGCACGGACATGAACTGCAAGGTTACGATAATGGTGAGATTTGATTTGAAAAACACAAACCTTAGAGACTTTACTGTGCAGTACATAATGTGACCTGAAGTCATTCTGGCAGTTGGAATACGCCATGCCAAGACCCAGTCCTGTACCCAAGGCAATGGGCGACGTCCGGCCTACAAAAACATCCTGATATATTACGATGGATGAAGATTTACACAAGGTTTACACAAGGTCTAGTATGAAATACTTACGCTTGAAAAATACAACAGAGAACACAATTCCTAGACCCAGCCCGGTACCTGCAAGAGAAAACCATTATGTGACATTACAAAATGACTCTTGCCTGTGGCACTGTGATGAGATTTCAATACTTTGAGATGCATTGTGTTTTAAGAAAATACTATGTTAATATTAAAAAAAAAAAAAAACAGTCCAAAACGCTTGAAACCATGGATATACCATCGTATCACGTCCAAAATACTACGGTAACTGTCCATGTAGTCTGTCACTGCCATAGTATCTAAACTATGACGAGATTAGTAGAAGGCGGTCCTTGTAACGTTAGTCATTCTTTTAATACAACACAAAAACATTAGTTCTCAAAGCCGAACACACTTTCAAACATAACGAATTACAAACTTAGACGGGATTTACGGGTGAATCGCCGTCTAGTTAGGAAGTTCACAACGTTTTGAGTCAAATCCGATGTGCGAGTGAGCGTCTATCTTATCAATGACCTGAGTGCCCTACACGGACATGACGTCCTGCCGTGAATTAAGCAGATTATTAAATGAAACCAATCCTTACCGACTTTAATAGCACAGTCTGCGAGGCAGCGATCCCACTTTTGGCCGATCTCTTTCTCAGACATGATGACTGCAGACGGGATGACTTTAGCTTGAAGACTGCACTAGAACGCTGTCATACTTTCCTTCGCCGACAGTGCGAGTGCAAGTATATTCGCGCTACATGATGGCGCCACCAGTCGGACAGGCGGGGAAATGCTGCAAGTTTAATTAACCCATTCAGACCCTGTGTCCATTACAATGGACATCACATGTCAGCCCCCCTTTTTTTAACTTCTGGAGCATTTCACCTAGTTTAAAGCAGCCTGCAGTCCATGAGACTGGACGTTTGTCATCCAATCAAATGCCAGTATAGCTCTGCATATGGTAATTATATAAAAAAAAAAACTCTACATTGAAGAGAAGCATGTCAGCACTTCACTCCAAACACAGAAGCAAGCAACATTTTCTAATTGTATTTACATTTTGTATATATTTTTGCCAGTATTTCATAGTTTGTATGTAAAATAGAAAGATTGAACTTATTAATTAAAGTTAAAAATCGACTGTAGAATTGCACGTTTTAAATCGGGATTTTTTAAAATGTGTCTGTTCATTAGAATGGACAGTAGGTTTGAAAGCCTGTTACTGAAGTCACATTTTCAGTGATGCTGATTATATATATATATATATATATATATATATATATATATATATATATATATCACAACTTTTTCATGTGCAGAATATACAGTTCTGAAGTGCTTGAACATATAGCTGATGAAAATATCTCAGATGTTGACTTTATGTGGAGTAATGAGGAAGATGGAGATATAAGAAAAATATCCATATTTAAAACTTTATAAAGTAAAATAACTTCCGGCCATGGGAACATATGGATTTGACTTAAATCTAAAGCTCAACTTAAATATGAATATTTTAAATATTTTATATTAATATATATTTTTTATGGATAGATGTACTTTTATGATGGATAGATGCACTTTTATCATGGATAGATATACTTTTATGATGGATAGATGCACTTGTATCATGGATAGATGCACTTTTATGGACTTTCAAAACAGAAACCATTTACAGTCAATAAAGCTTGGAAGGGCCAGGACATTGTTTAATATAACTCTGTTTGTTTTCGTCTGAGAGAAGAATGTCATATACACCAAGGATTAAATCATGGTGGTTAAATCATGGGCTAATTTAAATTTTTGGGTGAACTATGCCTTTAAAAGTATAGTTCAACCACAAATTATATTTGTCATCACTTAGTCACCCTCATGTTGTTCCAAACCTGTATGAGTTTCATACCATTTTTATGTTGGATACCACCCCGTCTGCAATCTATTAAATGGGGATTTGGGTATTATATTTGATATTAACTAAAGATCCTGTCGTGCTAAAAACTATTTTACTGCACTCAGCAGGCCCCCCGGGGTCCGTAGCACCAAGCGCTGTCCCAAAATTCCACCGTCCGCGAACCCACTATTTTTATAAAGGCATAAATGCTATGCAGGATCTCAATATCTCAGCTCAGGAAGGGTCTAGAGCCTCCATTTTGCCACTCAGGTGTAAGTCTCATTGCTCTCTATCAGAATCCAGAGTTTCAAGAAGATCAAAGAAACTCCAAATTTCGACCCGAAAAAAACGACAGGGTCGTTTTTTTTTTTTCGGGGCGAGAAATTAAGTTTCTCCAATCTTCTCAAAACTCTGGATTCTGATAGATGGCAATGAAACTTAGACCTGAGTGCAAAAATGGAGGCTCTAGACCCTTCCTGAGCTGAAATATATTGAGGTCCCACATAGCATTTATGCCATTATAAATATCTCAGTATCTCAGCTCAGGAAGGGTCTAGAGCCTCCATTTTGGCACTCAGGTCTAAGTCCCATGGCCCTCTATCAGAATCCAGAGTTTCAAGAAGAGTGGAGAAACTTATTTTTTCGCACCAAAAAAAAAAAAAACAAAAAAAACAAAAGGGTTACCACTGTCAGTTTTTTTTTTTTTTTTTTTTTGGGTCGAAATTTTGAGTTTCCCTGATCTTCTTGAAACTCTGGATTCTGATAGAGG